AGAAACAGCTTTATCTCTCTTTATTGGTAAGATATTTTCTTCAATTCTTTCAATAATTAATTATGGAAAAATATATACAAAGCGCAAAATGATTTTGAATATCTAATTTATACAAATAGATATAGATTATTATGCATCTTTTTTTCTTATAAAATATTTCTGTACTTTACTGATACAAACTGACAAACATAAATTTGAATAAAATTTTGTAGTGTCTTTAATTGAAATTTTAAACATTAATTCTGAAAGAGGAAAGTGTAGAATAAAATAAATGACTGAAATACAATACAACATCGATGATACAATAATTTGTTAAAGAATTTGAAAGAAAAAAGATCGCACATGTACATTACAAAATCGTTAAAAAGGAATAAATACATCGATTTAATGATCAAGATAAAATCTAATATGTATTTTGTTGACTTTATTTTTTTTTATTTAGACGAATCTTATTTAACTTCTATAAATAAAAATAAAATCTCATCGCTTGTCATCGATGTTACTAAATATAAAAAAATAAGTTCAAGCAAAGATGTGATTGTATGTATATTGACACATATCTTTAATGTGTTCTGCAATTTACAATATTTAAATTTTTGTCCATCTTCAATTTCGTATCAACGATTATTATTTGAGAAACCATTTCCAACTATGAGCTCTTCAACTCTCTTAGAATTGCATATCAGTTTGGCAAATTTCACCGACTGTCTTTATATACTTGATGGACGTTTCAATAAACTTCACACACTTTATGTTGATATTGATTTCATTTCTTCTTTGCATTTAACAAACAATAATCAGGTAGATTATTTCAGCTAATATTTGATTTTTTTTCGAACAAATTCATTATATGGTTTTTATAGGAAAAACTACCTAATTTAAGATGTTTTTCACTATTTTGTGAAATGCCGATAAATGTTTATAATAAATTAATTGTACCATTTCTACAACGAATGTCGAATTTAGAAAAACTCTGTTTGAATCTTATTGTTAGGGGCGAAAACACATTTGTTGATGGAAATGAATTGAAGCTGAATATTATTAATCATATGGCACGATTACAGAGATTCGAATTTTATATTTGTTCAAGCATTTCTCTTCGTAATCAAATTTATGTACAATCGAAAGAAGATATTCAACATACATTCAGAGATTTTAAAGATGATCAAGTTATTTCTTATGTTGATTATTTTCAAAAAGAACAATGTAGTCTATGTCATATCTATTTGTATCTTGATCAATTAAAATATTACTATACTGTAACAAATAATTTTCCAGGTGGCTTATTTCCATGTGTTCGTAAAATATCATTATATGATGACCATCCTTTTGAACATGAATTTTTTCTTCGAATTGCTCAATCGTTTCCATTTATGCAAACACTTTCTTTAAAGAATTTCAAACCACAAAATAACAAATTATGCAAAGAATCACAGAATGACAATCAAGATTTTTCAATCATTAACTATCCCTATCTTACTAATCTTACACTTTATGATGCTCATGATGATTATATCGAAGAATTTCTAGTTGATACGAAAATATGTTTACCGAATAATGCTGTTCATGTTAACATTTATTATGAACAATTGAAAAGAGTGACACACAATTTTACAAGAGATACAACACGAATCAATTGTGCAAAACTGAATTCTTTACATCTCAATGGTCGTCGACTTCCTAAATATGCAAAAGACTATTTTCCACATGTATAAATATTGATTATTATCAATTTTTTTTTTATGTAAAATAAATTGGTTTATGTAGAATGAAAGTATTAAAATAGAAATAAAATTTATTTTAGATTTGATTGAAAAGATTCGTATCTGTGTATGTCCAAGAAGAATCACACATGATAATACTGGACTGATAAAAAACATAGTAAAAAATAGTTATTTTATAGAAAAAAAATTCAGAATAACAGCTCAAAATCGAGTTATTTGGTATCATATAATATGAAATACATCTTTTAGAATTGAAAATAAATCGAAAGCTGAAAACTCTAAAACAAAAAGCTGTTAACATAATCTATGTTGGATTCAAATCTTGAACAAGAAATATTTACTTTATTAAGAGAATAAGGTGTTACATAAACCAACTTTTTAAATTTGTCTGCATAAACTTCTACTGTTTCATTTTAGTAATTAGGAAAACGACACAATAGACCTCACTTTTGACGTTATATCTATGATGATCTGTAAAGAAATTGGGTAAAATCATTTTACTTAAGGACTGTTTATTTCTATAGTGTAGAATTTATTATAAGTATAAGTTTTATGTAGCAGTCTATCTAACTTCTAATATCAAATTAGGAAAGCGTTGTAAATTTGTGATGAATAAATATTTAATTTCATCTAAAATCTACAAAATTACAAACGAAAGGGATTTGAAATGCTAGGGCAATATGATTTAATGAAACCAACATGGTATTCCTCTACTCAATATATAGAATTTCACGTGGTATATCCCTTCGATCTCTATTATTTCAAAAGCCACCGACGCCATTTTTTGTACATAGATAGCTCTTACTATTTTGTAGAAAACTGAATATACATTTGGGTTTGAAATATTTGGATAAAGCCGTACATTATTACTGTATGAATATAATTAGAATATCAAGTATATATATAGTCCCTATGCGATAGTATGATATTATAGAAACGATTTGTGTTCTTTCAGAACAATCGTGCTATAGTTTTTCTGTTTTGACACTTATCATCTGAAACTATGAAGATACTAAATTACCGAGGTGCAGAAAGACTAACT